CATATCATTTTCGCGGGTCAACTTCCTCACAGCTTTTCAGGACGTATATGAGGCTGGCTTCACGCGGCATAACATTATGGCGGCATTTGAAAAACAGGCCTCTTTCCTGTCGACCCAGCGCCGGTGATCACCAAGATCCTCCACGAGCAGCTACGACAACAGCAGCCGATCAATCCTGCATACGCCTCGCTCCTACCCTCGGAGACGCGTTTCCAAGTCGCCGCGGATGCCCTCAATGATATCCGGCAACGGTATGGGCCCCTCATGAGCTCGCCATCACGAGAAAACTTGCGGGTTCTTGCGAAAGTGAACACCGAGTCTATCGCGATGGCGTCACATTCCCAGGGCATAGTCAGCGATAAGAATAGCCGAACCCAGGCGTATGCGAATCGAATGAAGAGAGGCAAGATTGTCAGGCCGCGCGGAGAGTTTATCACGAGCTCCAGCATGGCCGACATCACCCGGGAGTATGAGGAGCTCCAGGCAAAGCAAACCCGGCTTCAAACGCGCCAGGAGATAAGGATGCATCTTAAACGAGTTCGTGGAGAGATGCAGAAGATCCGAGAAGACTATAAAGTCGGGAAGAAGCAGTTAGTCAATGGCAGAGTCAAGACATTGAACTTTAAGCCCTGGCTAGAGTTTACGGACGAGACGTTGAGTTCTACACTCTGGAGCAAAGTTGCGATACCCTCATGCGGGAGCTCAAAGAGCCATCCAAGGAATCCTTTTTCTATGATACCACGAAGAGAAATAACTCCGCCAGAGATGTCAGGGCGCGCGCAGCGACCCGACCTCGCCCACTTACAGATATGTCGTCGTTGCCCGGCAGTGACGATACCGTCTATTTCACAGGCCTCGATCTTGACAAACATAGTGAGGATGGCGCCGACGATGAAGACGAGGACAATTTACTCGACACGCAAGAGAATATACCCTCATCGCCGCCGTTAGCAGCGGTTGAAGCGGTAGTCGATACACCATGCCCTCGACCGCGCACCCGATCGTCCAACAAGATACAGCAGACGCTCCAGGAACACAGGTATGGATAAAATAGCTCTCAGAGACGCACAACAGGCGAAATTACTACATAATACGTCTATTTGGACTCACAAACGCGGTCTTCCTATCTCTTCGACTGGAAGGCGGCAGCTCCTAAATAGGCCCAAAGACGTGATTTTTTTCACTTTTCGTTGTTACTTGCGTCTTTAGGTGATCCGCAGCTATTGATCACATGTATATTTTAGCTATTTGAAGTCGCATTGACGGCACCATGAAGCGAAGCGTAGAATTTCCCTTGATTTTGCACCCCAAATTGAGGACCCTGCTGTGCCGGATTTTTTGGGCTGTGCCGGATTTTTTGGGCCAACTAAGTGGCGAAGACACTTAGTTGGGCTGCTGTGGCCCCACACCAAGATCAACGGGTATAGGGGAGCAAATGGTTACACGTCGTCAAGCTCATGTAAAATCGCAATCTTAACCGTTCACTTGCTTTTTTCTTTAATTACCATCGTCACTCCTAAAACTCAACTGTTCAAGATCGTCTAGGCTAATATTAGACTGTGATAAGACTTGTTGTAGTCGGTCCCGACCATTTTCTGGGCGACTAAGTAACGTGACTTCCGGTTGCTTCTGATCAGTAATATACTGATGCAGATGTGTCCGGAGCGAGTTGTACTCGTCAAGCCATGGATATTCCGGGTTCGGAGGACTTGAAGATATAGTTCCAATGCTTAATTGAACCAAATAATCGCATATCTCTTTAGTTTTAAGCGGTAGGTAGTCGTCTAGGTTCGTGGTATCCTCATCGAAAAGCTCGGTGCATATGCGAAGCCGATCCGGTGGGATCTCCTCGGCATAATTCTGTTCACCAGCAGAATCAAGCTGATGATATAAGACCGTAGGTTGCCCGCTTCGAACGTGTGGACGATTTGGCTGATGTCGAATAGTATGACTGTTCCACATATGAACGAATTGGACTAGCTCTTGACGGATAGTATCCATATAGATATAGAGAATTGCCACTCGATCCGCCCTTGAGCTACTGTCAAATAAGCCATGTTCGGTGAGCCATTGAAAGTATTGCTAATGGAGAGTTAGTATAACTAGGGTAGATGATGGATAAAATTATACTTACTCGCCAGAACCCAGCACGATTACTGCCTAACCGATGCCACCAGCTCTCAATCCGGGTGTTATGAATGCTTCGGCCAAAGTACCAGCAGTCTCCAAATGCAATTGGGACGAGATCAGAGCCCTGTTCCTTCGTTCGCATGCCGGATAGGTAATAATGTATCCCGCATAAGAGGGATGTCTCATTACCATGGTCCGATATCGCACGGAGGATGAGCAAGTGGGCATAAAGATCAGGGACTGGAAGACTCTTGATTCTGCTATCTAAGGTGGGAAAGAGGCGAGATCTTTATAGACTGCCTGAATATGAGAATGGAAGGGAATGGTAGTGAATGGAAGCATCTGATCGGATCATCTGGAAGCCACTGATGCGTTGATGATGCCTCCTAGAAGTTTCTGTGGGGAAATGTGGAAACGGACTGTGCGAATAGGGGGTCAGACTGTTGGAGGCTGATATCCTATGTGTGACATCCGATCGCAAGATACGAGGCATAGCGTGCCGCTGGTTTAGTACGTGGAGGTACTGTTTTGCAACGTTCCAGCTCGTACTGGACGAAAACCCACAGTAAAACCACGTAATATACCGTGAGTACGCGTCAATACCAGCATAGATCTCAAAACCCCAATTCTTAAGTTTGTCGTAGCCATCAATAGACCAGACCCAGTCTGGGCCATGGATAGAGAAGTCACGTCGTGTAACGTGTTCGTCCCCATCGTTCCCTAACGTTCTCAGGCGTGAAGTCTCGATACTCTGCGTATAGGGCATCACGACTAATAATATGATGTTGCTGGCGCATATACGTATAGAGATAGTTCCGGCCATGTCCTTGTAGCGTTGTAGAGATCTGTGCCTGGCTGTTAAAAAGGACCGGGCGCGTTCCCGACTTGGAGCGCTTCAGGGGATTGGCGGCGGTAGAGCCCTCTTCAAGCCGAATTCTTTCAAGACGGAACTTTGAGATCGTAAACCCTCGTCTCTAAGTCGTTTAAGCATGAAATCATCCTTAAGACATTCATCAAAGAATAGCGACCTAATTCGGTCCCGTAAGGTATCTGAAGTGATCGTACGTGCTTGACGAAGAAGTCCCCAGTCTTTGATCGATCGATAGAGACTGGCGCGGCTTACTTGAAGCTGATGATGCTCGAGAAGATGCGTACGGATTGTATTAATAGAGGATCCATCTCGATGCAAGCCGGTGATTTCCTCCTGAACTGTGGAAAGATCAATTTGTGGTCGAGGCATATTTGTTTAACTGAGTAAAGCGCTATTCGGGCTCAATGATATCGTAGAAGGGAGAAAAGCACTGAAAATGTGTACCAATGCGCAGAGCGAACGCTTACTTTCATTTCTTTCAATGCCCTATGCTAATAGAAGAGTATCGGTATATACAAGTTACCCAGTTGCACTTAGACCCGATCGGGTAATCTAACCCCGGGGTGCCCACAGCCCAAAATGCGTTTTGAGACAGTCTGGCCTACAGTCGCCCGTAGGACCTGAGAATCCGAGCGGCCACAGAGTCCAAGAATTGCTAGATAGGGGAGTAGAAGTAAGGAAGGCGCGACGGGTTTCCGGCGAGCACCCTCATCTTGTACTATACCTAGCCTAGCACGTCTTTTGCCCTTATAGGGATGTCCCAGACGGTAATCAATACTACTACTACTACTACCAGCCAAGCTAAGGTGTTACGCATTAAGGTATTGAAATGTCAGTAGCTTTTACGTCTAGGCCCTATAGGAGAAATCCTCCGGGTGAAATACACATACATACATACAAGCTGGTGTCGTCTGCCTTGATAACACTGCGGCTATAAGAGCCATACGAGGCAGCCCATCGATCTCGTCGCAAGCGGCTGCGGAGAAGTTCGCTGAGGCCGCGGCTCGACACGGAGATGTCGGCACGCGTTGGTGCCCCGGCCATACGGGGATCGCCGGCAACGAGCGGGCCGACCAGCTAGCAAAGGAGGGCTGCCGGGCCGAGGGTCCGGACAGACCGCCGACCTACGCGAACATCAAGAGACAGGCCAAGGCTGCGGCCAGGCGCGACTTCCAGGACTGGTGGGCCGCGGGGGCCCCGAGCAGCTACAAGAGCCTAGAGCTCAAGGCCTCGCTCGGGTGCCCCCCGGAGCTGCACACCAAACGACAGCACCTCCATCACCTGCTCGCTGCGAGGAGCGGGCACGGGGACTTCGCCGACTACCACGAGAGGTTTAACCACGAAGAGGCCCGGATCGAATGCTCTTACGGGAGGAGAAAATCACCGACACACCCCTTCTACTGCCGGAAGGTAGGTACTCGACACCGCCTAAGGCTAGCCCCCGCGGGCAAGGCTATCAACCAGGCACTAGGAAGGGGATTTGACCGGTTCCTCGGGCTAGTAACGGAGGCAGAATTCTTTGATCGGATCTGCCACCGCCACTAGCTCGAGGCAACCCTCCAACCTAATATGTACAACTCTCTCTTTTCTATGTTTTCTGCCCGTAGGCTCCCTGTGGGCCTACGGCCCAGCTGACTGCGTGGGCTTTCTCAGTCACCCGGCTCTGACCGAAGACTGACTAATATTACGGCTTCGCCGCCGTGCCCGAACCCGCTGACGGGGAAGGGACCTGAGAATCCGAGCGGCCACAGAGTCCAAGAATTGCTAGATAGGGGAGTAGAAGTAAGGAACGCGCGACGGGTCTCCGACGAGCATCCCCATCTTGTACTATACCTAGCCTAGCACGTCTTTTGCCCTTATAGGGATGTCCCAGACGGTAATCAATACTACTACTACTACTACTACCAGCCAAGCTGGTGCTGACGGGCCACTTAACCAGACTGGCCACCTAGCCACTTTTTCACACCTTCTACATTTCAGCCAGAACACCACCACCAAAATGCGTCGCGAAGAGGCCAGGCTTCTGGAGGCTCGTGTGCAAAAGCCAAGAAGTATCTTGATCAAAATCCCACTGCAAAGGTGACCACGGTTGCTCGTCAATTCGAAGTGCCGCGTGGCCGACTCGAAGCCGCCTGGACGGCCGAACCAGCTTGACTGACCGCCAACCAACAAATACGAAATTGAGCAAGCCAGAAGAAGATGCACTATGCCGCTACATCGATCGCCTTGACGCTGTGAATTTAGCCGTACGCAGAGAGTTCATTGTGGATGCTGCAAACCGCATTCTCAAGGTGCGGTCAGGCAAGGCTAGCCAGAGCAACCCGCCCACCGTGGGCATACATTGGATCGACCGCTTCGTCAAGCGTCATAAATATCTACTAATGAGCCAAAAGCAGCTGGAATCGAACCGCCAAGCCGCCGAGGATATCCCTACAGTCATTGAGTGGTACAAGAAACTCCACGCTGTAATGCAATCCGAAGGCATTGTGGAAGACGACATCTGGAACATGGACGAAACAGGGTTTCGTATCGGGGTTGGGAAAGACCAATTGGTCGTCACAAAGCGCAAGAAAGCCCATTACTTCGGCACTCCTGGTAACAGGGAGTCAGCTACGGCCATTGAGTGCATCTCGGCCGGTGGGCGAGTCTTACCAGCCTTCTTGGTGCTCTGTGGTATCCAACATCAAGCTCGATGGTACGAAGTCATGAAGCACTACCCAGACACACGCATTGCGATGTCACCAACTGGGTATAGTAACGACGAGATCTGCTTGGAGTGGATCTATCATTTCGACGAGCACACGAAAAACAAGACCAAAGGCAACAAGCGGCTACTTCTACTCGATGGATTCGGTTCACACCATACATACCCGTTTATCGAGTACTGTGGGCGCCGCGGTATTATACCTTCTCTTTACCTCCTCATTTAACACACCTTCTTCAACCACTGGATGTGGTAGTCTTTCAGCCGCTCAAGCATTATCACGCAAAGGCGGTAGACCTAGTGGTTCGTGACGGCTGCACAGATATCACCAAATTGGAGTTCTTGGACTTCATTCAGGACGTCCGGAAGCAAGCCTTTCGTCAATTGACCATCATTTCTGCGTTTCGGAAGACTGGAATAGTGCCATTCAACCAAGAGGTGGTCCTGGCCGTCATGAAAGCACGCAAAGCTCGTACACCTACCCTGAATTGGATCCGGCCTCCTGTCTTCACCGTTCGGCACGCCAGTCACCCTCCGGCAAATGCACAAGGCGGCAACGCAATGCCTTGAGGAACGAAGAGACGAAAGGATCCTTCTTCCGCCCCCTCCGTATGCCTTGAGGAACGAAAGGTTCTTCCTTCCGCGTCCTTCGCCACACCTCCACATCCTCTACCCCCTACGCACGGACCGCATGCCGCTCCGTGCCCACCAGCCACTCTTCACCGCCACCTGTTCTTTTTCCCACCAACCTTCCTGTTCCTGCTGCCCGTTCCCGTCCCGCTCCCGCCCCGGTCCCACTCTCCGGGCCAACTCTCCTTTCTCGTACCGATTGTTCACAGCCATCACCGTGCACCATGCCACGAGAACACCCCGTCACGGTCTCGCCCGAGGAGGTTCGCCGCACTTTGGGTGATCTTGAATCGCAGAGATCCCAGCAGCGCCGTTCCTATCAACGACCTTCACCGCTTATCAGGGTTCCCCACGACGAGATCCTCCGCGTCTTGCACGATATGGACCGCCAGCGCGCCGAAGAACGATCCGCCGCCGTGAAGCTCAATTCCAATATACCGCACACACGCAACAGCCGAACAACCCATCCCCGAGACGACCCCGAGAAGAGCAAGCGCCCTCCACTCCACCTCCAACGCAGCCAAAACACTCCCCTAGAAGACAAACGCAGCTGCCAGCGACTGCATCACCGAGACGACCTAGAGAGGGGCTATCACCCTCCACTCCACCTCCCACGCGGCTAAGGCGCTCCTCCAAAAGACACGCGCAGCCGCCGGCCGCTCCATCGCCGAAACGACACAGAGAAGAGGAGACACCTCCCACTCCACCCCCCACGCAGCCAACGCGCTCCTCCAAAAGACACACGCAGACGCCGGCCTCTCCATCACCGAGTCGATCCAGGGCGGAACAACCGCTTCGCCCTTCATCGCCCACACGGACGGGGCGCTTCCCACGAGGCCCGGGCCTACGCAAGAAACCGTCCAACTCCAGCGAGACTCTGTCGAGTCTGCGCTACATCACCATGACGCCCGTTTCCGCTCTAAAGAGCAGGCATCGTCAACAAGATCCTGGTGCAACGAAGTTCCACGTGCCCTTCAGGTAGCAGCTCCTAGATCGTTCTACCAGGCGTTTACGGACGAGAGGACGTTGCCCATTTCTCACTGCGTCTTCTGCTATAGAAAGACCCCACCTTGCGAGCTCTCAACCATGCAGTGGAGGGTCGATTGTCGCCCTCCCTGCTGCAGGCGACCCGGACCATCCAGAAGTGTGGCGCTTGCCTTCCGCCGCACGAGCGCGCGGGAGTTGACGTATGCCGCGAGTGTCGCGCCAGCTTCGACGGTGGACGGCTGCCCAAAGCCTGCTCGGTCAACAATATGGCCATCGGTTGCGAACATCGGTACCCTGGCGAGCTTGATGACCTCTCCCGTTGAGGAGAGACTCATTGCCCTGCATGCGCCCTTTGGCTATATCACCAAGTTCACGGTCGACAACAAGACCCGTTCGGGAATCAGCTACCGCAAGCACGTGAAAGGACATATCGTCGTCTTTCCGAACAAGGTGGACGATCTTGTTACCACCGTTCTTCCCATCCCTTGCTGCAGACCATTGAGAATATCCACGTCTCTTGGAGCGGTTCGGCTAAGCCTGGCTCCGCAGACGTCAGACACCTGCTTCAGGTGCGCAAATCTCGAGTGGCGGCCGCCCTGGCGTGGCTGCAAAGGAACAACCCACTTTACGAGAATATCGCAATCGACCAGGCAGAGATGGATGGCTGGCGGTATGCCGACGGCTCCACTGTTCCGACCGTCATCATGGACCGCATGCAGAGAGGAACCGTCGACCGTTGAGAGGACTCAAACTGACCACATAGTCCCGGACACTGATCGAGGCTTGGAGGAAAACAGTTTCAGAAGCATCGATGAACTTGTGAGCTCGATCGATGGCACCTTCGTCGACGAGTCTCGCGACTTGGACTGTACTCTATCGACTGAGCAGACTCGACCCTCTCCTGGTGAGCTGGCGACTCTTGTCCCCGACTCGGCTGCCATCGGCCAGGAAGTTGAAACCATATGTGAGACGTCTGCATCCGCCATGTTCCCTCTTGATGGACCGGCTGCCTTTGCGGATACCGATAAGCTGTCGTTTGTGGCGGGCATGGCCAACGCCCAATCCGGATCCACGTGGCCGCTCTATACCATGCGTTATGCAGGTCCAAACTACGGGAGATCAGCCGTTTGTCCGAGTAGAACGTGGTGCGGACTTTGCAGACAACCTGCACGAAGATTTCTTCCCTCGAACATTTCCCAAGCTTTTTCCGTGGGAAGGGCGGCCCGAAATCAAGGGCGACTCGAGTCGTAGCCGACAAAGCGACGCTGCCGACCGTCGTCCGAATCACTCGCTTAGCTACTGGGCCAGATACGTATTGCAACGGCATGGAGGCCGATTCGCCACCCATCCTGTCTTTTGTTTCTTAGTATTCAACACCTCCTTCGCTCCTCTAACCGCCGCATCAGCATGGTCCGTGTCGCTAAAGATTCCTTCCACAGGCTCGAGCAAGCGTATGCGAACTTGAACGAGGACCGACTGAAGAGAGCCGAGGCGGAGATGCGGGAGACAAGGACCACGTCGGACCCTGACATATCGGTCTTGCTTCGCGAGCTGTCGATTTTGGCCACGCACAGCCGCTCTCGAACGAATCCCGTTTGCTTATGCGGAGGAAGATACAAGCTGTTAACATTTGGGCCGGTATGCCTGCAGTTTGGATTACCATCAGTCCCAACGACATTAATAATCCGATAAAGATGAAGCTTGCCATTCATAGGCTGCACGATTATGACTCTGCAAAGGAGCTTTTGGCCGATCTCCGTGAAAAGTACGACAGAATCGCCCTCAGCACCATGGATCCGGTCAGCTCGGCCATCTTCTTCCACCGAGAAATATCCTATTCTTTGACAAATACGTGAATACAGGCCGGGAATCGATCTTTGGGAAGATTAGCCACTACTACGCCACGGTGGAGACGAATGAGCGAGGCAGCCTCCACTTGCATGGACTCCTCTGGCTGGAGGGCAACATGCGGTTACCGAACCTGATGGACGACATGGCCAATCCCGCGGAAGAAGCATACCGTGCCCAGGTGATCCGGTATGTGGACTCTGTCTTTCATGAGTGTTTAGACGAAGATGCCGGAAAAGCCGTGCGACAACAGAGGAAGCCCATCGATCCCGTGGAGGAGGTCATGACCAGCACCTCGGCTCTCACTGCGGCCTTCGAAGACGAATCCAACTTCATCGCGTACTGCTGCCAAGTGCACTCCACACGTACACCTGCCTCAAGTATTCTCTGAAGGGTGTCATCGAACAGGGGCAGATCAACAGAGACGGACAGCCTGCCGCTTCAAGGCACCGTGGAAGATCGTCGAGGAGACAGGGTTCACAGAGGATGGTCTGCTTCAGATCCGGCGCAATCACCCGCTCGTCAACCGGTATAACAAGTCATTGGCGGTCGGCCTTCGCCACAATCACGACGTCTCGATGATCTTGACCAAAACCAAGGGCCTGGCCATGGTGTACTACATCACGAACTACGCCACCAAACTGGATACGCCGATGTGGAGGCGCATTGCTCTCGCCACCGAGGTTGCCCGCCAACTCCGCGAAGCCGGTCGTCCGACGTCTCGCGCACCAGATCCCGCCCTGCCCGACAACAGGCAGCAGGCAGTGTTGAACGAGCCGTCAATTCCTGATGAGAACGGCAAATCGGATCTTCTCCGAGCGACAACTCTCGGCCGTAGAGGTCTGTTACCACCTCCTTGGATATGATACCGACTTTACCAACGTGCCGCATTGGTCTTTCCTGAACCTGACGGCGCTCTATTGGGCAATCTTTCGGCTATGGTCACATCTCCGCCATCAGGCCGGCGAGCTGACGGACGCTGAACAGCCCGCGGAGACAATCCGTCTGAGGCAAGGAGGGCGAACCCTTCTATACCTAGACGCGTATGCGTACCGGGGCCATGTTCTACGAGACTTATGCCTGTATGACTACATGTCAATGATTCATTTGGTGCGTCGAAAGGTCGGAGTGAAGACGACTCTCATATTTTCTCGATGGCCAGGATTCCGACTGTGACGACTGGATCCAAAAGCTTCGACGGCCCGACCAGTACGCCATCCCGATCTTCCAAGGATACATCAGCGACGACCATGAGGACGATCACCCAGTCTATATTAAGCGGTACGCTCTAAACCCCGGCACCGTTTTGGCTCTATCTGATAGCCCGTGCAGAAATTCGGTCCTACACTTGGCGCTATTCGTCCCTTGGGAGAAGTTTATTTCTGAGAGCCAAGGCGACATAACCGACATATGGACGACGCATCGATCGGGGCTTTGTCCCCGCCTCCGTTTCCATGTCTCCAACATTGGTCTTTTGAGAAAATCTGCCGAAGACGCGCAAGGACGCGAAGCTCTGGGCCAGTCGGTCGGAGGGCGACGACACAATTGACGTCGAGTACCCACTTGACGACGGCCGCGATGAAGAAGAGCCTCCAGCGCTGGCTCATCGTCAGGCCTACAAAGCTCTGCTCCAGATTTTGCGAAATGCCGTGCAGGATACGGACGCCACAAAAGACTCACCCGTCCTTGGAGGTCTAATACACGATCTGTGCGAAGAGAACCCGGCTGAAGAAGAGCAACCTTTCGTCCAACGTCAAGAGGATCTGTACCGGAATATGCCCGATGATCAAGGTGACGCCTTGTGTCAATTCCCCATATCTCGAGACGATGTCCAAGCAGCGGCCAAGGCCCAACAACTATTGCATCTTCGGATGCTGGACGATATTGAGGGTGGTTCTCAGGGCACCGTACTATCCACGAATGGCGCCGACATTGACGATACCCTTGCTCGCTACGGCGATATGGAGTCCGCCGCTGCGCTCCCGGGCAGTGACCTCAATGAACAAGGGCCTCGGATGCTTGTCGACGTCAGTCCGGCAACTAGCTTCGCGGAGATTGGACACACCGCCGCGGCCAGCTTTACACTGAACTATCTACAGACCATGGCCCTTCAACTCGTTTGCCTGTTTCTGGACAAGTATACTGCCAACCCGGACTCAGCCGGTCAGCATCTTCAATACACCGGCGGGCCAGGTGGCACGGGAAAGTCGAGGATTATCGATGCCCTGAAGGGCGTGTTCGCGGCGAGGAACCAGCCGCATCTTCTGCAGATAACCGGCACGTCGGGCAGTTCGGCGGCCCATATTGGCGGCACGACCATCCACTCGGCCTGTGGGTTAGATTCCCATCGCGATCCAAACAAACCGCCTCCCCTTCTCGGAGGCGAAGAAGTGGATCTGAAACAGAAGCTGGTACTCGTGATTGACGAGGTCAGCATGCTGGGAGGAGCCACTCTGCACAACGTCAGTCGTCACCTGCAGGCACTCCGTGACTGTCCGGACGAACCGTTTGGCGGCATGCCCGTCGTCCTACTGATGGGAGACTTCTACCAGTTCGCCCCCGTGCGGGAAACAAGCCTACTGATCATCAGACCGCCGGACCGAACAGAGACCCCCCTGCGACAGGCGACCATCTCTCACCACAGCGGCTGCAGATTGTGGCATCTGTTCAAAACCGTGGTGCTCCTCGAAGACCAAGTCCGCGCACGCAACGATCCCCAACTCCGTGCACTCCTGGATCGAGTTCGTAACGGGCGCCAGACCCATCAAGATCTGAGCTTGCTCAACGCCAACATTGTAGGACGCTCGCAAATCACCTTCCACGATGGTTTGCGCGCTATAACGCCGCTGAACCGCACCCGGTGGGCCCTCAACATGGAAGCTGTTGTGGGCTGGGCGCGCTTCAACAAGCGGCACATCCGTATCTTTGTCTCGACTCACACCTGGCGTAGCGGCGCGCTTTCTCCAGACATCGTAGCGCGAACCGTCGGACAAGGCGACGACTCTGCCTGCAAAGTCCCCGGCGTCTTCTTCTACGCCCAGGGCATGCCCGTGGTTGTGAACAAGAACATCTACACTGGCCTGAAGGTTGTGAATGGGGCCGACTTTACCGCCGTGGACGTGATAATCGATCCCAATCACCCGGGATACTGCTTGGCCGATGACGTGACCATCCACTTCGGGCCACCACTCGGCATTCTTCTGCAGTCCGAGGAGACGAAAGCCTTGGCGATACCGTCCCTCCCTGTGGGGACGGTACTCATCCGCCCCATGTCACATATACTTGACTCGACTAACTCTCACTTCAAGTTCTTGTCCGCAAGATGCACGCGACGTGGACTGCCCGTTGTACCAGCGTTCGTTCTCACTGATTACAAAGCCCAGGGTAAAACGTTCGTCGAAGTACTGTTGGAGCTGCGTGGAAATCGTGTGATCAATGGTGAACCCTCCAAGTGCGATTTTACGAGCCTCTACGTCCAACTGTCCAGGTGCACCTCGCTTCGGGGCATCAAGCTTCTGGTCCCGTGAGGTACCATGATTTCATTGGCAATGGGCTGGATCAGGCCATACTTGATGGAATGCAGAGACTCAAGAACTTGGCCGCAGAAACGAGACGGTTATACGAGGACCATAGTTTCGAAAAATAGCTATCCCTTCACCGCCGACCAAGCATGGCTGCTGACATGTCCATCATATGCGACTTCATCCCCTCTGCTTTACCCTGCTCCATCGCGGCCATCATTTGCCTCATCCCCGTCCCGCTTGTCCGCCCGGAGCTCGACCGTACACGGACTCAGCAAACATCCGAAGCTGCATCGGGAATCGGGAATCCCCATAATGCTCGATGATGTCGCTCTTTTCCACCGCGCTTCGTAGGTCGTGCCATTGCGATGGGGTCATACCGAGTGTCTCGCACTCTTTCTTCTTCTTTGCATCCCACCACGGCGGCAGTAACGCGGGACAACGCTCGACGCGCTCCAGGAAGCGCTTGAAGCCACGCAGCCCATTGGCGGCACCACCATATATGCTATCCGCGTCTGCTTCGCCTTCAATGTTGTACATATCCTCAACGCGCAGTCGGTAGGCGTCGATCAGCAGCCCGTAGACATCTCTTTCCGATCGATCATGCAGCCAAGTGCGATTTTCAAGACGCGTGAAGGGGCGGATGACGCCCTGTTCCAACCCCTTCGGAGGCGATAACTTTGCCGTTGTAGGCCCATCTTGAAACGATGTCGTGGCGTCGGCCTGTTTGCCACAAACCTTCTTATGGACCTTCCAGTCTGCCTTCTGGCAATCCCTGGAGCAGTACGGCGTTGTGGAACATTTCGCGCACCTCTTGAGGGCGACTTCAGGCGGCGACTTCTTGCAGCTATTGCACTCGAGGGCCATGATGACCTAATTCCGATGACCAAATCGTTGAAGAATTGCTTTCTGAAAAAGACCGCATAATTGAAGCTCATTTTATGCCGCAGGGAGGGCTAGCTTAGGCTTAAACGGGTAAGGTGCTGCAGCCGCACTACCACCAGACTTGTTGTGCCTTTCCAAAAACCAACCCGAATGCTCGCGCTTTGACTACGCCCAACTCTCGTCCCGTTCCTCAAGGCATTGGCGGACCCTGGAAGGGGCCGGTCTCCTGTTCCTCAAGGCATTGGCGGACCCTGGAAGGGGCCGGTCTCCTGTATGCCGCTCCGTGCCCTCCAGCCACTCTTCACCGCCACCTGTACTGTCCCCACCAACTTCCTGTTCTTGTTGCCCGCCCGGGCCCACCCAGGGGTCCCGGGAGGCCCTCCCGGCCGGCGGGGCAAAGGTCTTGACCTTGACCTAATCGCTCCGCCAACTCTCCTTTCTCGTAGCAATTGTTCACAGCCATCCCCGTGCACCATGCCGCGAGAACATCCAGTCAAATCTCACCGAGGAGGTTCGCCGCACTTTGGGTGATCTTGAATCGCAGAGATCCCAGCAGCGCCGTTCCTATCAGCGACCTTCACCGCTTATTAGGGTTCCCGACGAGATCCTCCGCGTCTTGCACGATATGGACCGCCAGCGCGCTGAAGAACGAAGCCGCCACCGTGAAGCTCAATTCCAATATACCGCACACACGCAGCAGCCGAACAACCCATCCCCGAGACGACCCCGAGAAGAGCAAGCGCCCTCCACTCCACCCCCAACGCAGCCAAAACACTTCCTACAAGACACACGCAGCCGCCAGCGACTGCATCACCGAGACGACCTAGAGAGGGGCAAGCACCCCCACTCCACCACCCACGCAGCTAAGGCGCTCCTCCAAAGACACACGCAGCCGCCGGCCGCTCCATCACCGAAACGACACAGAGAAGAGAGACACCTCCCACTCCACCCCCACGCAGCCAAAGCGCTCCTTTAAAGTCACATGCAGACGCCAGCCTCTCCATCCCGAGTCGATCCAGAGCGGAACAATCGCTTCGCCCTTCATCGCTCACGCGGACGGGGCGCTTCCCCACGAGGCCCGGGCCTACGCGAGAAACCGTTCAACTCCAGCGAGACTCTGTCAAGTCTACCTTACATCACTATGACGCCTGTTTCCGCTCTAAAGAGCAGGCATCGTCAACAAGATCCTGGTGCAACGAAGTTCCACTTGCCCTTCAGGTAGCAGCTCCTAGATCGTTCTACCAGGCGTTTACGGATGAGAGGACGTTGCCGATTTCTCACTGCGTCTTCTGCTATAGAAAGGCCCCACCTTGCGAGCTCTCAACCATGCAGTGGAGGAGTCGATTGTCACCCTCCCTGCTGCAGGCGACCAGGACCATCCAGAAGTGTGACGCTTGCCTTCCGCCGCACGAGCGCGCGGGAGTTGACGTATGCCGCGAGTGTCGCGCCAGCTTCGACGGTGGACGGCTGCCTAAAGCCTGCTCGGTCAACAATATGGCCATCGGTTGCGAACATCGGTACCCTGGCGAGCTTGATGACCTCTCTCCCGTTGAGGAGAGACTCATTGCCTTGCATGCGCCCTTTGGCTATATCACCAAGTTCACAGTCGACAACAAGACCCGTTCGGGAATTAGCTACCGCAAGCACGTGAAAGGACATATCGTCGTCTTTCCGAACAAGGTGGACGATCTTGTGGCCACGGTTCTTCCCCATCCCTTACTGCAGGCCATTGAGAACATCCACGTCTCTTGGAGCGGTTCGGCTAAGCCTGGCTCCGCAGACGTCAGACACCTGCTTCAGGTGCGCAGATCTCGAGTGGCAGCTGCCCTGGCATGGCTGCAGAGGAACAACCCGCTTTACGAGGATATCGCGATCAACCAAGCAGAGATAGACGGCTGGCAGTATGCCGACGGCTCCAGTGTTCCGACTCTCATCATGGACCGCATGCGAAGAGAGGAACCGTCGACCGTTGAGAAGACACAAACGGACCACATAGTCCCGGATACTGATCGAGGCTTGGAGGTAGCTTCAGAAGTATCGACGATCTTGTGAACTCGATCGATCCTCCTTTCGACGCTGAATCTTGCGATTTCGACCGTACTCTGTCGACTGACCAGACTCAACCCTTCCCTGGTGACCCGGCGACTCCTGTCCCCGACTCGGCTGCCGTCGGCCTGGAAGTTGACACCGTCTGTGAGACGTCGACGTCCGGCATGTTTCCTCTCGATGGACCGGCTGCCTTCGCGGAGACCGATAAACTGTCGTTTCTGGCCGACATCGTCAACACCAATCCGGACCGACATGGCATCTCTGTGCCGTGCGTTATGCAGGTCCAGACTACGGAGACCAGCCGTTCGTCCGAGTGGAGCGTGGTGCGGATTTTGCAGACAACCTGCACGAAGATTTCTTCCTCGAACATTTCCGAAGCTTTTTCCGTGGGAAGGGCGGCCCGAAATCGAAGGGCGACTCGAGTCATAGCCGACAAAGCGACACTCCCGACCATCGTCCGAATCACTCTCTCCAGTACTGGACCAGATACGTATTGCAACGGCATGGTGGCCGATTCGCCGCCCATCCTGTCTTTTGTTTCTTGGTATTCAACACCCTCCTTCGCTCCTCCAACCGCCGCATCAGCATGGTCCGTGTCGCTAAAGATTCCTTCCACAGACTTGAGCAAGCCTATGCGAACTTGACCGAGGACCGGCTGAAGAGGGCCGAGGCGGAGATGCGGGAGACAAGGACAACGTCGGACCCCGACATATCGGTCTTGCTTCGCGAGCTGTCGATCTTTGGCTATGCACAGCCGCTCTCGAACGAATCCCGTTTACTTATGCGGAGGAAGATACAAGCTCTAGACATCCGCGCCGGTATGCCTGCAATCTGGATTACTATCAGTCCTAACGACATTAATAATCCGGTAAAGATGAAGCTTGCCATTCATAGGCTCCACGATTATGAGTCTGCAAAGGAACTTTTGGCCGATCTCCATGAAAAGTACGACAGAATCGCCCTCAGCACCATGGATCCAGTTAGCTCGGCCATCTTCTTCCATCGGGAAGTATCCTTATTCTTTGAAAAGTACGTCAATGCGGGCCAGGAGTCGGTATTCGGGAAGATTAGCCACTACTACGCCACGGTGGAAACGAACGAGCGAGGCAGCCTCCACTTGCATGGACTTCTCTGGCTGGACGGCAACATGCGGTTACCGAACCTGATAGGCGACATGGCCAATCCCGCGGAAGAAGCATATCGTGCCCAGGTGATCCGATACGTAGACTCCGTCTTTCATGAGTGTCTAGATGAAGATGCCGGGAAAGCCGTGCGACAGGAGAGGAAGCCCATCCACCCCGTGGAGGAGGTCATGGCTAGCACCTCGGCTCTCACTGCGGCCTTCGACGACGAATCCAACTTCATCGCGTACTGTTGCCAAGTGCACTCCACACGTACACCTGCCTCAAGTATTCTCTCAAGGGATCGTCGAACAGGGTACAGATCCACAGAGACGGACAGCCTGCCGCTTCAAAGCACCTTGGAAAATCGTCGACGAGACGGGGTTCACAGAGGACGGCCTGCTTCAGATCCGGCGCAACCACCCACTCGTCAATCGGTATAACAAGTCATTGGCGGTCGGCCTTCGCCATAATCACGACGTCTCGATGATCTTGACCAAAACCAAGGGCCTGGCCATGGTGTACTACATCACGAACTACGCCACCAAACTGGAAACGCCGATGTGGAAACGCATTGCTCTTGCCGCCGAGGTTGCCCGCCAACTTCGCGAAGCCGGTGGTACGAGGCTTCGCACGCCAGGTCCCACCCTGCCCGACGACAGGCAGCAGGTAGTTTTGAATGAAAGCCGTCAGTTCCTGATGAGAACGGCAAATCGGATCTTCTCCGAGCGACAACTCTCGGCTGTGGAGGTCTGTTACCATCTACTTGGATATGACACCGACTTTACCAACGTGCCGCATTGGTCTTTCCTGAACCTGACGGCGCTCTACTGGACAATCTTTCGGCTATGGGCGCATCTCCGCCATCAGGCCGGCGAGCTCACGGACGCCGAACAGCCCCCGGAGACCATCCCTCTGAGGCAAGGAGGGCGAACCCTTCTATGCCTAGATGTGTACGCCTACCGCGGTCATGTTCTACAAGACTTATGCCTGTATGACTACATGTCAATGGTTCACTTGGTGCGTCGAAATGGTCCGAGTGAAGATGAGTCTCGCATTTTTCTCGATGGGCAGGGCTCCGACCGTGACGGCTGGATGCAAAAAGCTTCGACGGCCCGACCAGTACGCCGTCCCGATCTTCCAAGGATACATCAGCGACGACCATGAGGACGATCACCCAGTGTATGTTAAGCGGTACGCTCTAACCCCCCCCGGCACCATTTTTGGCTCCGTCTGACTACCTGTGCAGAAATTCTGTCCTACATTTGGCGTTATTCGTCCCTTGGGAAAACTTCATTTCTGAGAGCCAAGGCGATATAACCAGCATATGGACGAGGCATCGAGCGGGGCTTTGTCCTCGCCTCCGTTTCCATGTCTCCAATATTTGTCTTTTGAGAAAGTCTGCCGAGGATGCGCGCAAGGACGCGAAGCTCTGGGCCAGTCGATCGGAGGGCGACGACACAATTGACGTCGAGTACCCACTTGACGCTGGCCGCTGCGAAGAGGAGCCTCCAGCGATGGCTCATCGTCAGGCCTACAAAGCTCTACCCAGATTTTGCGAAATGCCGTGCAGGATACAGACGCCACGAAAGACTCACCCGTCCTTGGAGGTTTAATACGCGATCTGTGCGAAGAGAACCGGCTGAAGAGGAGCAACCTTTGTGCAACGTCAGGAGGATTTGTACCGGAATATACCCCATGATCAAGGTGACGCCTTGTGCCAATTTCCAATATCTCGAGACGATGTCCAGGCAGCGGCCAAGGCCCAACAACTATTGCATCTTCGGATGCTAGACGACATTGAGGGTGGTTCTCAGGGGACCATCCTTTCCACGGACGGCGCCGACATCGACGATACCCTAGCTCGCTCAGTGATCGGAATGGTCCGGTATGAGTTGGTATTGGTATGGTAAATACCGCCAAGACCTGGTATGGTTTGACAAAAACTTGATACCATGGTATTACCGGTATACCGAATCATACCAGTAACGCTAAAAATAAGCTCAGGTAAGAGGCTCACTGCGGAGAATGACCAGGCAGAATCCGAGCGGCGATGATTCCAGTGTCATCTGTAGGGCTTATTGACCAGTTTTCTGCCAGTTTATCTACTCCATTCAATCATGAATACCATCATCCTCACAATAAGTTATCGACCTGGCTACCTTGGTCAGGTCGATCCGGCACCGAACGGATGCTTTTCGTCTTTGCTGCCGGGTAGCTATCCCAGGAAGGCACGAAGGTAAGGCTAGTGTTAGTGCGTATTAGAAAGTACTTCTCATTGCACCCAGTTTTATGAGTTCTTCCATGTAGGACGGAGCATGACCTAACGTATCACTGGCCAGACTTGTCAATCGCGTCGTCGGAGGGACAGGAAAAGCTTAAATGATCCTTTCAGGGACAGGAAAGCTTAAATGATCCTTTCAATCGAATTACTTCCGTGATGTTGGAGCCCGAAAATTTTTACGTTAGGCTAGTTGGACGATGGACCAAGATCGAATGATCGAAAGCCACCATAGTGACCATACCTTAACTGGTGTATGTCATGATCATGGAATCTCCAGCGCCAACCTCGCCATCTTCGTTTACGACAAGTTCAGCATCAATCCGCTCCAGATCTCCTGCATCGTGTCCCGCGCCACACTTTTCCGCTACGACGCCATCGTCTAATTCTGTCCGTTATCCTGAGCCTCCGGACGAATTCGTACAAGACCATGTCACGTACCTGCGTCGCGCGACGACGACGAAGAAGGCAGCTCGTCTCGGCTCGTTCGCATGTGTGGAAGTACGGTCTTCATTACATCCGAGACAGTGACAAGAAAGAGGTATACTACTGTCACGAATGTGCGATCGGAAAGTATAAGCAAGAGTTATTTGTGATCAATGGCACGTCGGGAGTGAGAAATCATCTCGAACAGAGGCACCAGATTGATCCACAAAGCGGCGTGAGGAAACGCGGTGCGACACGGGCGTCTGTATTGGAGCAACAGAAAAGCGCAGCTGCTAGTAGCAATTTTTTTCTGGAAAGATACCGTTGAGAGGTTCAAAGAGCTTTTGATTCGTTGGGTTGTGTACTGCCATATTGCTTTCTTCCAGTTGGAGAACCAGTACTTCCGAGAGCTACTCTTCTTTCTGAACCCTGCTCTACTTAATCACCTCCCAAAGGCTGCGAAAACAATTCGAGGTTGGGTTATGGATGCGTTCCTGTCGAAGAAGCAACAGCTGAAAGAGGACCTCCAGCGGTCGCGGAGTAGAATCTCCATCTCCTTCGACCTCTGGACCTCGCCAAACCCGTACGCAATCCTGGGTGTCGTCGCCATGTGGATTGACGCCACCGGCAAGCGACGAAGTACCGTCCTGGGCATGCGACGCGTTCATGGCGAGCACAGTGGCGAGAATCTTGGGTCGACCGTTCTCGAATTATTGACGGAATATGACATTGGCGGAGATCAGATTGGATACTTCATGCTGGACAATGCTTCATCCAATGATACCGCTGTTGAGTTTATACTCAAGGAGCTCTGCCCATGGATGAAGCCGCAACAGCGTCGCCATCGCCGACTGCGCTGCTTGGGTCACATTGTCAACCTCTGCTGCCAGGCGTTTCTCATGGGTCGAAATTGTGAGAAGCATTTGGCGAAGCTTGAAAAGCACCACCAGCGCGGAGATTACGTGAAGGTAGAGGAGCTGTGGAAGAAGTTTGGATGTTTAGGCCGGCTCCATAACCTTGTGCGGTACATCCGGCTTACTCCTCAAAGGCGGGAGGAGTTTGCAGCAATTATTATCGGCGGCCATCTCTCCGAATTCGATGGGCTCGAGCTTATCCAGAACAACTCCACACGCTGGAATTCGTGGTTTCATTCGATCACACGAGCGTTAAATGTTCGAGAACGTTTGGAAATCTTCTCAGCTCGTCATGTACCAGGAGAGGGTCTCAAGGGATTTCGAACTTCAAACTAGATGGACAGCACTGGTTCGAGCTTGAAAAGATCGAGCTCGCACTAAAAGACTTCTTCGCGGCAACTATGCTTGCTGAAGGAAACAAGACATCCCTCGCTGACTGGTTTTCGACTTTGGACTGTCTTCTCCGCGAGATCAACGAGACGAAGGTGTGACGGTACAAGTGCACGAACAAGGTCGGGTGCGACTTGGGTAAAGTGATTGTCTACGAAGAGAGAAGGAGGTTCTAAGGAAGACTCTGACTTTCGCTATTTACATGAATCAAAGTGAGACATTTCATAAAGTATGAAAGTCACATGATCGTTCCTCACAGAAGGATCACTACCATGACATTCACGAGGAAGACGACGACGACAACTTCACGTGGAGGTATCTCCAAGGTTGTGCAGATGCTGCGTGGTCAAAGTGCGAGGAGTATTACAGCAACCGACAACGGAATTGGCAACATCGATTTCCTGAAGATACTGATCTTCCGCCAGCGTATTACGCAGCTCAAGTACTCAATCCGTATCGAAAGTGGGCATGGTTCAGGCAAGAATGGGTTCTTCAGGGCGACGAAGGAAGACAGAAGTGGTATGAAAGCGCACAGCTGGCGGTGAAGCAGCTCTGGGAGACAGAGTATAAGGAAAGTACCCTGTTGAGGCGCTACCACCTCCAGTCAGGAAGGACAAGGATCCAGACCCAGCATTCGATCGGCAGAGGGAACATAAGCGCATTCGCATAGACGGCCCGGCTGCTGCCACCGATCTGTATGAGCAGTATATTTCGACCGACCGGCTGCATGACGAGGAGGCAGGTTGCGATGAGGCCATCGCCTATTGGCTATCCCGTTATGACTCGCAAAGAGACCTCGCCCGCTTCGCTCTGGATCTATTTGCGGTTTCCCCAATGTCATATGAGTGCGAACGGCTGTTTAGTAGCGCAAAGCTTGGTATAGTTGATCGTCGAGGTAGGCTTAAGGCAGATATCATAGAGGCTTGTGAGTGTCTACGTGCCTGGTATGGGAAGCCTCGGGCTGAGGATAGCGAAGATAGCGGGGATAGCGAGAATGAAAGCGAATAAGCGATCAAGTTGACAGCTAGTAGCCAATACATTTCCTATTTTTGCAACCCGCCTCATTCTGAGCGGTCTTGGCGGTATTACTGGTATTACCGGTAAGCCATACCGGTAAGGATATCAGCAGGTGGTATGGTATGGTATAGAGGTCATACCATACCATACCGGACCATTCCGATCACTGAGCTCGCTACGGCGATACGGAAACCACCATTGCGCACCCGGAAGTGACCTCAATCAACAAGGGCCTCGAATGCTTGTCGACGTCAGTCCGGTGACTAGCTTCGCGGAGATGGGACACACCGCTGCAGCCACCTTCACACTGAACTATCTACAAACCGTGGCCCTTCAACTTGTTTGCGCATTTTTGGACAGGTATACCGCTCATCAGGACTCAGCCGGTCAACATCTTCAATATACCGGCGGCCGGGTGGCACAGGAAAGTCGAGGATTATCGATGCCCTAAAGGACGTGTTCGCGGCGAGGAACCAACCACATCTTCTGCAGATAACCGGCACATCGGGCAGTTCGGCGGCCCAGATTGGCGGCACGACGATCCACTCGGCCTGTGGGTTAGATTCCCATCGCGATCCAAACAAGCCGCCTCCCCTTTTCGGAGGCGAAGAAATGGATATGGATGTTGCGATTGAACTTACTTCTATTCAATTCTGTCTGACAGCTCTCAACATACATATATACATAGTGGCACGTCCGTGCCACTATCCAGTGACTCACCACTTGTAACTGCTGCCTAAACATGTCTTGGTCCATGTCTCATATCAAGTCAACAATGGAAACAGAAGCTGGTACTCGTGATTGACGAGGTCAGTATGCTGGGAGGAGCCACTCTGCACAACGTCAGTCGCCACCTGCAGGCACTCCGTGACTGTCCAGACGAGCCGTTTGGTGGGATGCCTGTCGTTCTACTGATGGGAGACTTCTACCAGTTCGCCCCCGTGCGGGAAACAAGCCTCCTGATCAACAGACCGCCGGACCGAACACAGACCCCCCTGCGACAAGCGACCATCTCTCACCACAGCGGCTGCAGATTGTGGCATCTGTTCAAAACCGTTGTGCTCCTCGAAGACCAACTCCGGGCACGCAACGATCCCCAACTTCGCGCACTCCTGGATCGAGTTCGTAACGGGCGCCAGACGCAGCAAGACCTCGACTTGCTCAACGAAAACATTGTAGGACGCTCCCAAATCACCTTCCACGATGGTTTGCGTGCTATAACGCCACTGAACCGCACCCGCTGGGCCCTCAACATGGAAGCTGTCGTGGGCTGGGCGCGCTTCAACAAGCGGCATATCCGGATCTTTGTCTCGACTCACACCTGGCGCAACGGCACGCTTTCTCCAAACATCGTAGCGCGAACCATAGGACAAGGTGACGACTCCGCTTGCAAGGTCCCCGGCGTCTTCTTCTACGCCCAGGGCATGCCTGTGGTTGTGAACAAGAACATCTACACTGGCTTGAAAGTTGTGAATGGGGCCGACTTTACTGCCGTGGACGTAATACTCGATCCCAATCACCCAGGATACCACTTGGCGGATGACGTGACCATCCACTTCGGGCCACCGCTCGGCATTCTTCTGCAGTCCGAGGAGACGAAGGCCTTGGCGATACCGTCCCTCCCGGTGGGGACGGTACTCATCCGCCCCATGTCACATACACTTGATTCGACTAACTCTCACTTCAAATTCTTGTCGGCAAGATGCACGCGACGTGGATTGCCCGTCGTACCAGCGTTCGTCCTCACCGATTACAAAGCCCAGGGTAAAACGTTCGTGGAAGTACTGTTGGAGCTGCGTGGAAATCGTGTGACCAATGGTGAACCCTCCAGGTGCGATTTTACGAGCCTCTATGTGCAACTGTCCAGGTGCACCTCGCTTCGGGGCATCAAGCTTCTTGGTCCTGTGAGACAGCATGATTTCATTGGCAATGGGCTGGATCCGGCCATAATTGATGGAATGCAGAGACTCAAGAACTTGGCCGCAGAAACGAGACGGTTATACGAGGACCAGGGTTTCGAAAAGTAGTGGTAGTATACTAACCATCCTGATAGTTTGACCTTTTGCACGTCGTAACGCGGCAGGTAAACGTCCTACACTTCATAAGGTGACCGGACCGCACCCCAGTCGTCTGGATCTCGCCCCTCCTTCCCAGGGCGTATGCGCTTTTGCTCCTTACAATAATTTACCCACCATTCCTCGAACGCGTGACGGCTATAAAGCCATCTCGGCGGCCCGTCTCCCTCCCCGAACAGGTCCAGGATGTGGTCGCAGAACATCCACACGCCTTCAAGATGCTGCGGATAAAATGGCCTCCTGTCCTTGCGCGCGACCACGACGGTGCCAACTTGTGACTGCCATTCTGGAGGTGCAAACCCGGAGTCGGCATCAATATTAAGGTACGTAGCAATCTGGTTGTCGAGGTCTGCCTCGTTGGCGGACTGAGTCCCCGTCCGATAGAGGACCAGCGGGACCTCGATGAGCGCTGGGACGGAGGGCACCGACTGCGAAAACACATCATGATTCGCAGGGATTGCAGTGGCAGACCAAAGGGAAACTTGCGTTTCTCTGCCTCGCATCGGACAATGACAGCTTCAACTTGCCCTGAGTTGCTGTGCATTTTCAAACCTGATGTACCCAACGCCGGGGAGGCATGCGTGGGCGGCGGGGTGGGTGTTGCCGCTGGCGCTTGCTGGGGCGATGCCTCTGGCTCCGAATCGGTGTCGATGTTGTCCCACCTTGAATAATCAATCGGAGGCATTGGGTCGATTCTTGACAAATTGTTCCACTTCACTGCATGATTCACGAACGGTTCGGACTCCTTCGCCATTCGAGATGAAGGCTGGCTCCTTAGACTTTCCTTTTCCATTGCGTCCTTACCCCGCCCTCAACCCACCATGTTGTAGCGGGGTAAGATGGCGTCCAAGCAGCCACACTATCAGAGCAAGCCGCATCTTCTTCTCAACAGACCTGTCAGTGTGAAACCCAAACTGAATGCTCCAGTCCCGTTCCTCAAGGCATTGGCGGACCCTGAAAGGCCGGTCTCCTGTTCGCCACAGCTGTGTCTCTCCAGCCACAATCCAAATCAATCCACATACATGCATGCTGTAGGTATACTGTACATAATGCCCACGCCACCGTCTCTTGTTGTTCCTAGGTCCAACCGGTATCGCTGCCTTGCCATGACGCCATCCCTACGATGGCGGGGTCGAAAGTCATGCATCGTTTCTTCCCTTTCTCTTCCCTCCTCATCACATCCTTATCTACTTGTGACCATGCCTCAGAGAGCCGTCCAACGCCGGCGAGCTGGTCAGAGTCCTCATGACGAGATCCTCCGCACGTTGCAGCGTCTGGACCGCGAGGAGGCCGAAGACCGGGCCCGTCGAAGGGCTTTATCGTTAAAACGCCGTAGAGAACAGGAAGCGCTTCCAACCCAGTCGCCGAGGCCGCGGCCGATGCCGGAAACAGTCCCACTCCAACGAGGGTCTATCAACTCTATTGTACATCATCATGAAGCTTGCTTTCGCGACAAGGAGCAGGCATCGGCAACAAGACCCTGGTGTAAAGAGGTTCCACTTGCGTTCCAGGTTGAGGCTTCCAAGTCGTTCTACCAGGCGTTTACAGATGAACAGACATTACCAATTTCACATTGCACCTTTGCTATACCAAGTGCCCACCATGCGAACTCGCTGCTCTTCAGTGGAGAAGGTATTTCACGCCCTCGTTGATGCAGGCCACGAAGCCTCTTCAGGACTGCAAGAAATGCCTCCCACTGAGTAACAACGCTGGAGTTAATGTTTGCCACGAGTGCCGCTCCTGCTTCGGAAATGGAAAACTGCCCAAGGCATGTTCTGTCAATAACATGTACACTGGGTGCGAGCATCGGTACCCCGTAGAGCTCGACGGCCTCTCCTCTGGAAGAAAGGCTGATTGCTCTCAGGCCCCTTCGGCCTCATCACAAAGTTCAATGTTGATAGCAAGACCCGTCGGGAATCAATTACCGCAAACACGTAAAGGGTCATATTGTCGTGTTTCCAAATAAGGTGGAGCACCTAGTGGCTACGGTTCTACCTCATCCCCTGCTGCAGACCATCGAAAACATTCACATCTCCTGGAGCGGCTCGAGCAAACCTGGCGCCGCAGATGTTGGACATCTCCTTCAAGTGCGTAAATCTCGAGTGGAGGCCGCCCTATCATGGCTCCAGAGGAATAATCCCCTCTACGAGCACGTCATAATCGACCATGAGGAGATAGACGACTGGCGATATGCCGACGGCTCTAATGTTCCAACCCTCATCATGGACCGCATGCAGAGGGAGGAGCCGTCGACTGTTGAGAAGACGCAGACGGACCACATAGTTCCAGATACTGATCGAGGCTTGGAGGATAACCGGTTCACAAGCATCGAGGATCTTCTTACCTCTATATACCCTCATCCTGACCCCACTGATGAACCCTACCGTACAAAGGAACCACGTCGACGGAGCGGCATCGTCCCCACCTGGCGGATCCAGTATTCCATTCTTGCCCCAGAGCCTGCCGATGGCAACGGCGATGCCGTCTATGAGACATCATCTTCCGGCATGTTTCCCCTTGATGGACCGGCTGCTTTTGGAGACGTGGACAAACTGTCATTCTTTGCCGACGTTATGAAGGCGAGTCCGAATCGAGGTGGCTACGACGCTGAGCCATGCGCTATGCGGGTCCAGACAACACGAGAACAGCCATTCATCCGGGTGGAGCGTGGTGCGGAGTTTGCGGACAACTTTCACGAAGACTTCTTCCTCGAACTTTTCCGAAGCTTTTCCCTGGGTAAGGGCGGCCCAAGGGCAATACGAGAGCTGGACCATAATATACAGAATGACCCCGACCCTTTTAAGCACCATTCAAATCACTCGCTGAATTACTTGACTAGATACGTACTGCAACGGCATGGGGCCGATTCGCCACACATCCGTCTTCTGTTTCTTGGTCTTCAACATCCTCCTCCGATCCTCCAACCGCCGTATCAGCATGGTTCGCGTGGCAAAGGGCTCTTTTGAGAGACTTGAACGGGTTTACAGAAGCCTGACGACCGACCGCCCGACAAGGGCCGAGGCTGAATGCGAGATACAAGGACTACGACTGACCCCGACATATCATTCTTGCTTCGTGAGCTGTCAATCTTCGGCCATGCGCAGCCGCTCTCGAACGAAAGTCGACTTCTTATGCGGAGGAAGATACAAGCACTTATCGTTTGGACCGGCATGCCTGCGGTTTGGATTACCATCAACCCCAACGACATCAATAACCCGGTGAAGATGAGGCTTTCCATTCACAGCTCCACGATTACGACAAGGCAAAGGACCTCCTATCCGATCTTCAGGGAGATACGAGAGAATCGCCCTTAGCACTATGGACCCAGTCAGCGCCGCCATTTTCTTCCACCGAGAAATATCCTGTTCTTCGACAAATTCGTCAGGACAGGTCAAGAATCGGTTTTTGGCAAGGTCAGCCATTACTATGCAACGGTGGAAACCAATGAACGAGGCAGTCTGCACTTACATGGACTTCTCTGGTTGGACGGCAACATGCAACTGCCGTCCCTAATGCATGACATGGCCAACCCTAGAGAAGAAGCGTACCGTGCCCGAGTGATTCGGTATCTAGACTCAGTCTTTCATGAGTGCTTAGATGAGGATGCTGGAAGACTCATCCGCCAGGAGAGGAAGCCAATCCATGCAGTCGAAAGAATGATGAACAGCACGGAAGCTCTTACTGCGGCCTTCGAATCCGAGTCCAACTACATTGCGTACTGCTGCCAGGTTCATTCCCATACCTACACCTGCATCAAGTATTCTCTAAAACAACTAACCGAACAGGGTGCGGATAAGCCCAGAAGGACGGCCTGTCGATTCAAGGCGCCTTGGAAAATCGTTGACGAGACGGGATTCGTGGAGGACGGCCTGCTCAGGATCCGGCGCAACCACCCGCTCGTTAACCGGTATAACAAATCACTGGCGGTGGGCCTCCGCCATAACCACGACATCTCCATGATCTTGACAAGGACCAAGGGCCTGGCCATGGTATTTTACATCACAAATTACGCCACTAAACTGGATACGCCGATGTGGAAACGAATTGCCCTCGCTGCCGACGTCGTGCGACAGCTTCGCGAATCTGCTGCGCTCAGACACCAAGTCTCGGACCATGCCGCCCACGACGGCCGGCGACAGGCCGTGCTGAACGAGTCGTCAATTCCTGATGAGAACAGCAAATCGTATTTTCTCTGAACGCCAGCTTTCGGCTGTAGAGGTATGTTACCACCTTCTCGGCTACCACACTGATTTTACCAATGTGCCACATTGGTCCTTCCTTAACCTGACCGCACTATATTGGGCAACCTTTCGGCGGTGGAGACTCCTTCGGCGCCAGGCCGGCGAACTTGCAGACGCGGAGGAGCCTCCCGAAACGATTCCCCTCAGGAAGGCGGACGAACTCTATTGTACTTGGATGCCTACGCGTACAGAGGTTCTGTTTTGAGAGACTTGTGCCTATATGACTATATGTCCATGATTAGCTTAGTGCGTCGGAGAGATCGAGCTGAGGATGAATCTCACATATCTCTCGACGGGCCCTCTCCACATGTGACGATTGGATCCAAAAGCTTCGACGACCTCACGAGTACGCCGTGCCAATCTTTCAAGGTTTCATTAGCGACGATCACGAAGACGAGCACCGGTATATATTAAGCGGTACGCTCTGGATCCACGCTGCTTGCTGCGGGCCAGCTCTGACGTTCTACTTAGCAATTCCGTACTCCATCTAGCCTTATTCATCCCTTGGGAAGACTTCCTCTCCATGAGTCACGGTGACATCACCGACATATGGTCGAACTGCGAAGCAGCCCTTTGTCCCCGCCTCCGTTTCCGTGTCTCCAATATATGCCTTCTGAGAAGGTCAGCCGAGGATGCACGTAAAGACGCAAAGCTCTGGGCCAGCCGGTCGGAGGGTGACGACACAGTGGACGTCGAGTTCCCACTTCATGAAGGTGACAATGGTGAGGAGCCTGCAACAATGGCCAAGTGTCACCAAAACTATACAGCTCTGCTCCAGGTTCTGCAGAATGCCGTACGAGACTCTCATGCTACGAGGGATTCCCACGTCCTCCGGGACCTGATCCGGGACCTGTGCCAAGAGAACCCGCTTGAGGAGGGACGGCCTTTGGTCCAACGCCACGAAGGTATCTACGAGCAAATTCGCCGCAACCAGGATAGTCCCCTCCGCCAATATCCGACCCTGTCTGGTGAGGATGTTCAGGCCGCGGCAAAGGCCCAGGGCATGCTGCATCTTCAACAGCTGGATGAGATTGAAAGCGGTTTCCAGGGTGTCACACTTCCCCCGAGAAGCGCCGACGTAGACGATATGCTTGTTTCCCACTGTGATGTGGAGATCTCCTTTCCGGGTCATGGTCAAGACGTAGTCGCACAGGGCCCTCGAATGTTCCTCGACATCAATCCGGCAACTGGCTTTGTGGAGATGGGCCACATTGCCGCCACCAGCTATACTCTCAACTATCTGCAGACCATGGCTCTTCAACTCGTTTGTGGGTTTTTGGATAGGTACACTACCGATCCGGATTCAGCGGGTCAACATCTTCAATACACCGGCGGCCCAGGTGGTACGGGAAAGTCAAGAATTGTCGATGCCCTCAGGGACATATTCGCGGCGAGAGGTCAACCGCACCTTCTCCAAGTCACCGGCACATCTGGCAGTGCGGCAGCCCGGATCGGCGGGACGACGATCCATTCGGCCTGCGGGTTGGATGCCCATCGCTCCCCAAACAAGCCGCCGCCACCATTCTCGGAAGCCAAGAAATGGGCCTGGAAACAAAAGTTGGTGCTCGTGATCGACGAGGTCAGCATGCTCGGAGGAACCACCTTATACGACGTCAGCCGCCACCTCCAGTCGCTCCGCGACTGCTTGGACAAACCGTTTGGCAGCATACCTGTTATTCTGCTGATGGGGGATTTCCACCAGTTCGCCCCCGTGAGAGAGACCAGCCTTTTGGTCGACAGAATGCTGGATGAGGCCCACGCCCCCTTGCGACAATCGACCATCTCTCACCACCGCGGCTGTAGCCTGTGGCACATGTTCAAGACCGTTGTCCTTCTGGAAGAGCAAGTCCGTACACGAGACGATCCTCAGCTTGGCGCGCTTCTGGATAGGGTGCGTGCCGGGATGCAGACACAGCAAGACCTTGTCCTGCTCAACACGAAACTACTTGACCGCTCCCAAATTACATTCCATAGTGGCTTGCGAGCCATAACACCTCTGAATCGGAACCGGTGGAGCCTCAACATGGAAGCCGTCGTGGACTGGGCACGCTTCAACAAGAGGCATATATCCGTCTTCATCTCGGCGACTCGGCCCACACCTGGCGAAGTGGCACGCTGTCTCGAGAGCTGATCGCCCGGACCATCGAACAAGGGGATAACTCTAGCTGCAAAGTTCCCGGAGCCCTTTTCTACGCGCAAGGCATGCCTGTCGTTGTGAACAAGAACATCTATATTGGTCTAAAGGTGGTGAATGGAGCAGAGTTTGCCGCTGCGGACGTCATCCCCGACCCTAGATACCCAGGCTACCACCTTGCAGACGACGTCACTGTCCACTTCGGACCACCGTTAGGTATACTACTTCAGTCAAAAGAGACAGACAACTTGCTATCCTGCCCTCCCACCGGGAACAGTACTCATCCGGCCCATGTCACAGACCCTCGACCCGACCAATTCCCATTTCAGGTTCTTGTCGGCGAGATGTACGCGACGCGGATTACCCGTTGCACCGGCATTTGTCCTTACTGACTACAAGGCCCAAGGGAAAACATTCCTGGAAGTACTCTTGGAGCTGCGAGGAAATCGCGTAATAAACGGTGAGCCTTCCAAATGCGATTTTACCAGTCTCTATGTACAACTATCCAGGTGTACAACGCTTCAAGGTATCAAGCTTCTCAGTCCCATACGACCCCAGGATTTCATCGGCAACAGGCTTGATCAGGCTATAATTGATGGAATGCAGAGACTCAAGGAACTGGCTTTAGAAACGAGACGGGCATACGATTCAAGGCAGCGATACGTAGAAGCAGCGTGAGAGATTACTCTGATGATATATCGGCTTCAAGGTTCATGAAGGGTTGAGTAAGGTAGAGAGTGTGCTATACATGCTTAGATAAATTTACCCTTGGCTGGGCCCTCAGCGGGCCGCCTTAGGAGTAACGTAGGCGGCCAATTTAGTGGTAACCTCAGACATGCCTTCTCCTGCAACCCCGGCCCAACTCCAGTTCCGTTCCTCAAGGCATTGGCGGGCCCTGGAAGGGGCCGGTCTCCTGTCCGTCCCCCTCCTAGCTATACTTTGGAATACTTTGACGCTATCTCGGCCACAGCGCCACAATCGAGCTGCTGCCTCAAGATGCCCCGTTCGCCATGGCAACCTTCAACATTTTGTCTGCGTAGCCAAGAAGACAAAACGCCCTACATCTAAACATGCTAGAAACGGACGATGAGCCAATTTACCTGGGTACACGAAGCCGCCTGCATGGGTTTGTGGCGCCTGTATCTGTCACCGCTGCGATGGCGGCCCGCAGTTTTCGGGTTCTTTGATGCAGCAGGCCGGTTCTGTCGCCGGCTGGGCCGCGGAGTACCTGACTCTCCAATGGACTTGCCTTCATCTGTGCCCATTGCCCATGACAAAATTGCATACCGCCCGTTATTTGCAGGATTGTCGCACAAGCAAGTGCGGACAGAGGTGTTGCAACGTTTGGTCAGAAGATATGGTTCCGATTTGGAACCCGGCGAAATATGACGAATGTCGTCTTCCCAACGGCAGACAGTTCTTCGATCAGACGGCGGGTTCTTGGACTCTGGAGTGTTGTTGCCCTTGGCAGGCTTGGGGAGTCAAAAAGCTGTCTTTATTTAGAGCTAACTTTCTCTGGTCTGGACATAGTGCACCACTTCTTGATCATGCTCAAAGGTTCTAACGTGGGCAAGGGCAAGGGCACGGGCATCTGGGCCATCGACACTGCCGACGCTTACCCTTCGGCCGGTATCATCGGCACCCACATCATCTCAATCCAGCCAGCGTGGATGCCTCCAAACTGAACCAAGCATGAAGGCCAAAGTACTTCAAAATGCTCCCCCAGAAAAGCACCTCAAACTGCCAGTATTCTCTCCACCCTTCTCCAGCTGTTTGCCCTAGCAACCCTATCCAAGTAGAAGAACCGTAGCGCAGGTACAAAGAAAGAAAAGGGGATCCCACGATGCCCAACGAGAGGGCATATTGGGAACCAGCCGGGCGAGCGACTCAGATGATGTTGAGAGGCGTGTGCCGCATCTTCCTGGGCCTGTGTTGGAACCTACGAAAGGCCTCCTGGATGTGGGGGAGGCTCGATTGGGATCTTGCCCTCACCGGAGGGGGCCCACTCGCGGAAGCGCTTGCCATTGTGCCAGGTGAAGGAGGTCTGGCGGTACCCGGAATAGATGACGTATTCCTCGCACGTCATCACCTTTGTGCGCTCGTCGGCCCTGCGGGGCGCTGGAGGGTCATGTAGTTCATCTCGTCCCCTTCTTCCTCGTCCTGTCGTCGCGCTGGGGGACCTCGACCGAGTAGTGGGACGCCGCCCCCCCGAGGAGGTTAACCTTGGCCTTCTTGTAGTTCCTGGCGGCTTCATCGACGGAGCCGCCGGGCACGACGCCGTCGACGGGGTCATCGCCGACGACTAGGTCGGTGTCCGCACCCCTGTCATCCGAGTCTTTACCGTCTTGCGCACGTCGTACCACGAGGGCTCCTAGCGATCATCGACGACGCGGTCGAGGGGAGAGGCGGAGCGGCGCTAAGTTCGAAGCAGACAAAACAACGGTCACGCGAAACGCCGCAGGGCGAGCAATACGCTATTACTTAGGTAGCGCCTCTTCGTGCCTTTGCTTTAGGGTGCTTCGAATGCTGCTCGAAAGAGCAGTAGGTGTCGCGAAGACCGTCGCGGCACACGTCAACTCCGACGCCCTCATGCGGCGAAAGGCAAGCGTCACTCACACTTCTGGATAGTCCTGGTCACCCGCAGCAGGGAGGGCGAAATGACCCTCCACCACATGATTGAGAGCTCGCAAGGCGGGGACTTCCTGTAGCAGAAGACGCGGTGGAAATCGGCAACGTCCTCTCGTCCGTAAACGCTTGGTAGAACGATTTGGGAGCCAATACCTGAAGGGGGTGGTGGAGGATCGCCGGGAAAAGATGCGGAAGGAAGAACCATTCGTTCCTCAAGGCACAGTATGCAGCGTGTGATGAAATCAGAAGGTCGGTTCGCCATCTACCGTGACTCCCCTATCAGCGCCCGCCAGCACCGCCATTAGTCTTGTTTATTTTGTCGGCAGATTCTTTGTCTTTCGCAACAAATGCCGCTAGGATGGCCTTGCCCTCAGCGGCGTCATCATCCTCCCACGGCTTGAGGCCCATAGACTGCATAAAATTGGTCCAGCCGCCGTATGATTTGCAGACTTCACGCTCGGCTTTGCTCAGAGGAGGCTCTGAAGCTCAAATATTAGCTCTATGGTGTCCTTATTGTTTGGTGGAGGGGAAAGGGTAGGACTGGGAACAAAAAGATCCTCAACTCACGGAGACTGTCTGTGGCTGGCATTCTTGCAGATTATGTTGGACTCACGGTAGAGTACGTGCGGAACACAACAGCGTCTCGAGCGTCGCCAAGATATTTGGGCTGAGACAGGCCGGTAGATGTCTCTGGTACTATGAGGTATTTGGAGGGCCTTGAAGACGAAAGGTAAGGTGGCCGGATACACAAGACCACGTGATCCATGCCTAAGGAGGGCTAGGAAATGAGGGAGGGCTGCGTCTCAGATCAGGTATCTATGCCCCTGTTGATATCAGGTTTGCCCCTAGTCTATATGAGGATGTGTTTAATCAAGAAGGATGTGTACAGATAAAACGACAAGTCTCTCGCCCTCCTTAGAGAGTGTTGAAATGTCGGAGCGGAAAACCCAAAACCCCGACCGTCCCTCCCTACTTGCCCAGCGCTTCATTGAAAGACTTGTAAGACTAGGCGCGAAGTGCCCCTACATACGTATGCACCTCCCTAGTGGAGGCATCTGACACAACGGTCACAACCGCACATCGCCAACCCAATGAGCGCGCACCGCAGCTCGCGACGCCGGACACCACGAGAAGAACATCCGGCGAGTGTAAGCTACTGTACTGTAGGCGGCGTTCATGACAAGATCTTGTTGTATAAGAGACGTCTCTTTCGATGCCTGTCACCTCTGGCTGTTCATCTGCGTGTCGCGTCAAGGTAATACTGGTAATACACCGCGCGGTCGATCGTGTATTGTGGATGGAAGGATGTCGTAAAGTGTGCAATCGCGTCCTTTCGGATACTTTCGAATTGGATCTGTCGATAGGCCCTGACGACTCGCAGGAGCCGTTCTTTGCGCGAAACTGAGGCTTGTTGTGACGCAAGCATTGTGTTGTTGCAGTACGGGTTGCATTGGTCGGTGGACAGTTTCTGTTCGAGTGGGAGGTCTGCACGAGTAGGAGGGTACTAGGAGGGCCTAAAGTCGGCCAAATCCCCGTCCCCGATCCTCAGGGACGGGGGGGCCACTGACCGGGAAAAAGGACGCTGAAACGGAAAACCTCGGTACCTTCATCTCACACTGTTTTACTAAGAAACCAAGGTTCTCTACTCCCCTTGTTTGATGCATACATTTCCCTCACCAAGCGGCAGCATTCAATTGTCCGAAATATCGGCAGATGCATAAGAGAGCGACACCTTAGTATTTTGAAGCTATATTCTGCATAAGGCAGCTGGCGCCCAATACGGTGGGCAAGATTATAGAGGCGACGATCGCACGGCGGCTCGCCGATACTGCGGAGACGCATTACGCGGACGACACTGCCATTCTGTGCGTCGGTGATAGCCTTGATGAAACGTCCGCCGAAGCATCTCACCATGTACGTGAGCTTTTCGTGGGGCGCCGCTAACGGGATCTCTGGGATCTCTTTCGACCCCGACAAGACAGAAGTGATGCACTTCTCTCGAACGAAGCCCAAGACGGCGCCGCCGGTGCTCCACGAGTTTGTGAAACGGCCGGATCGAGCGATGCGTTGGCTCGGCGTTTGGCTCGACAGCTCTCTTTCAAGACACACGTCGAGAAATGGACGGCCAAGGCACAAGCTGTTGCCTTTCATCTTAGGAGACTGACGAACATCAAATATGGTCCTCTGCCGAGTGCTATGCGACGAGCCGTCTGCGCTTGCGTCATCCCCGTGCTACTGTACGCGGCGGAGGCCTGGTACCCTGGTCCGAAAAGCCCGCGCTGGACGAAGCCTCCAAGGAGGGGCCGTCGGGGATTGGCAAACTCGTCAAGAAGATGAGCAAGGCACTCTACACGTCTCTTCGGGCTATT